TAAGATGCAGGTTATATGATTCCAAGGGCAAGAAAGAAATTGGATCATCAGAGTGTTTGTACAATAGTCAAGAAGCAACAGAAAGATGCAGCTTCATTTACGTAACTTCATGCTTCCAAGTGCTGGCTGTAGCTTTGCACCTTCCCATCTCACAGACCTCTTTGGAGGTCATCCAGACTGATGAGAACTACCCCTGTTTATGAAGTTTAGACTGGGAGTGATGCTCATTGCTGTGGTTTTTTGTCATGTGTTTTGTGGCCTCAGTTCCCATAGGCAGTGTTCTGCATGAGGTTTCTGACCTTTTTCTTCTAGACTGGTTGTGCAAAATATTTTGTTTTCAATTCTTCCAAAAATAATGGCAGGTTACTTATAATGCAGAAATATTAATTTGATGTAATTGGCTGAAATTGAAATTCATTGCCTAAAGTTTCTTAGTTCTTTTTTTGCTAAGATTTTGCATAATAGCTCCTTAGACATGATAATGTGCTTCTGAGGGGGGGGCGGAAATGACTTAAGACAATAAAATCAGGTAACTAAATGTCTTGGTCATTGCTTCCATGGACTTGCTTTCTATTTAGAGAACTGCAGCAGTGCTACTAATACATTTATTAATAAAATATTAATAAGACTTTGCATGGTCTTTAAAAAAATAAGAACAGCAGGGATTAATTTTCTGCTTTTGCTCAGTAGAAGTAGGTACTGTTTTATCTATCTTTCACAGGAGAGGTGGTTTTAACTCAAATGTTTGCTTTTCTGTTGGCGTACAGAGTTCAAACTAATTCATTCTTTTTCCTTAGGGGCCAACACAACGACATGTCCAGATAATCATGGAAAAGCTTCTGAGGACAGTAAATAGAACAGTCATTTCCATGGGAAGGGATTCAGAGCTCATCGTAAGTGTCTCCTGATGCAAACTTAAATACCTTTGTCACATCTTTGTGAACCTGAATGTAATAGGATTTGAATCCCAAGTGATCTGAAGCAATCAAAACCTTCTGTCACTGTGTGTGTTCAGTAAGCAGTGGAGCATCGGCTTGTAGTTTGTGTGTAGCACAATGTATGTAAGGGGAGAGGGAGAGTTCTGGTCAGGCTGGGCTGGGTTTCCATCTGTCTGAGTGGCTGACCTCGTGTTCTGCATTCCAGCTGCTTGGATTCAGTGTGTTGCATTGATTTGTTGCTGTCATTAAGCCTGCTTCAAGTCATGATCTGTTCCTTAAAAAAAAACAAAGCTCCTATCTGCTAGTCCAGTGGGCGTCCATTAACACTTTCTTCTGATCTCCCTTTTCTTTTCCTATTTTGTTTCTCTGTGTAATTGCACGCAGTGATGTTTCACTTTTTATGACAAAATGCTTTTTCTGCTTTGCATCTTATTATCTACTGCTGTCTCATTTACTTGGTACACAGCGATGCTTCTATCTGAAAGCATACTGCTAGTTTAGTTCTTTCATTCTTCCTCCCCTAACTTTTTTTCTCCCATCCTCCATTTCTGTCACTTTGATTTGCAGTAGTAGGTTTTGTCATAAGTGGCATTGGATCATCAGATGCATGGCTGGAGCAAGAGGCAGTGAGAAGCAGCCATCTTCCTTACAGAATGTTGCCAGATGGGGTTGTAGTAACAGTGGAGAAAATCATAACATTCATGCCTTGTTTTCCTCTATGCATTACCACAGAAATAGCTAATAACATGCAGAACAGATGACTTTAAAATGCCTGTGTGCACTGGGACACAGGGCTTTGCACTTCTTCCTCCAGTTATGGAGTACTTGCAGTCTTCTAAGACATACAGATGGGAATTGAATTATTGTTGTTTTATGGACGTTGATGAATGTTGATTATTCCTTTTGCTTTTAACAAACGGTACTTGAAATTTCTCCTGTGCATGCTTCAGCTGAGTACAGTTGTATTAGAAATAGGGGCAGTGATCATGAATGCAGCTTGCAGGCACTCTGTCAGCACACACACTGGAATTGTGTGATGAGTATTAGCAGGCCCAGGTATTTGCATAAGGTACTGAGCTTCGAATTCAGTCTTGCTGCAATAATCCCCTCCGATCAACTGATAATTCATTTTTGTGATGCCACCTAAGGAGGCAAAGTTAAATGCAACCAATAGCAAGCAGAAACCTGACCCTTCCTGGGTTAGAGTCGGGTTGAAGTTATGCCTTTTCTTTTATCACTACCAGAATTGCTTTACTCAGAATTTATATTGGAGAATTGCTCCTTCAGGATGAGAAGAAGGAAGGAGGAGTTTAAAGATGAGTGACATCACAGAAGCATGGTTGAAATAATAACTTTTTCATTAGTAGTAAAATCAGGGCAGGTGCGTATGCAGTTTGCTTCTTATGTAAGTACTGGCATTCAGCAGTCAGCATGTTTTCACCTTGAAGCAATAGCAATGTCATCTTCAACTGAGGAGCTGATGTTTACTTCTAGAAGAGAACTACCTACCTGCTTGGGTCCTGCTTTGATTAGCACTGGCACATGGGAGCAGCAGTCCTGTTCATATTTGGAACGTGATTTTCATTGCTGTGGCTCATAGGATGCCTGAACTGTGTGATCACTAGGGGTAAATACTGAAGGCATTTGCTTTGTAGACATTGTTCCCTTTTAAATTACTTGCTGGGTGCCAGCAAGTGGGGCTGGGGATGTGCTATGTGTGATGTCCTTCAGCATTAGTGAGCAGAAGTCTTCAGCATAGCTTCAGGTTGCTGGATGTGCTAATGTAAGAGGAATACTGAATTTACTGTTGCAGGAGGACGTGTAATTAGAGCCTATTACAGATGCACATAATTACAGTGGTTTTCTCCCCATTAAAACATTCAGATAGGGTTTTGTATGTCTGATACTGATGTGGCTGTTACCAGGTCAGTTTCTTTGGAGAAACATTGAGGAAAAATGAATGGGCTGTAGTTCCCACTTGACCAAATCCTGTCCTTTGCTGTAGGCAGGGATGTGGGTACATACAGCATTGTGAGGACCCACGTGGAAACATGGTGAGATTTGTTTCTCCATAGGATTCACCAGAATTCCTCATTGGTTCAGAAAATGAGAGAGAATTTTGGTTACTTTTGCCGTATTTCAGTGTGAATTTGGTACAAAGCTTTCAAAGGTTTTTGTGCTTCTGGCTGCTTGCACAGGTTGGTTCAGTGAAAGCAGTGAATTTACGGGCTTGGAAATCAGCGTTTGTTCCCCACTTGGCACATCAAACAGATTTCAAGATGGAAAAAGTCAGATTGCCATTTTAGTACTTGTTATTTTGGAGTGCGGTTTTTCTTCTGCAAGTCTCACTTGGGTGATTCTGCTCGATCTGCTAAGTGAAGCAGAGCTGCTGTGTAAGTTTTTCCCAGTAAAGGTGAGACCTAGAGACAACTGCTAACAATTCTCATCAAAACTACAGCTGGTTACTAACAGCTAGAATTTGAAAAGGTAATTTTGGTCTTGTAAGTGACCTGGGTATCAAAAGGAGCAGAATTTTACCTCCTGTACAATTTCTTATCCCTTCCGACAATTCCTGACCCTCTCTTAACTAATCTCTGGCTTTGGTGAGCAGTGCAGTGCAATCTGTGGTTCCTTTTACGTTGTGGAACAAGCCATGTTTCATTTTGCTAGAACAAAGATGTAGCTTGGAGGGTAAGAAGTGGCTGTGCTGCTGCGAGGGTGTCTGAGGAGCTCTGAACATCGTTGGGTGTCTGGTGAAAAACCAACTGAACGCCCACTGTGACACCAATGCCTTTAAATTCCCTTGGGCTGTGTGACAGGAGCAGCAGGCAGGAGGGGACTTTGTGGCTCTAGCAGTGCGTGGAGTGGAGCGTTTCCCATGGAGCTTCTCTGTCCTGCCGTATTTTGGAAAAGAATGCAGTGAAACCAAAAACTGAGCAGTCGCAAAAGTGATCAGAAAGCAGAGGTTTCAGTGTGAAAGACTTCAGCCATCTGGTGTTAATGGAAGGTTTAGAGGTACTGCTCAGATATGGTGGGAGAGAATCTCTGCAGGGTGGAAATGATACCGGGCAGAGGGAGGAAGTGGAACTGATGACAAAACAGGAGCAAGAAGTGTAAAACAGCAGAGCACAGCACGGATGTGAGGAGGGAAGACTGAAATAATGGATGGAAGACAGTGGATGCTGTCTGTTGTCTTTTCAAGACAGAGATGCTTTTCCAGAAGTGAAATTTGAGTTATTGATGGTCACGAGAGTGTTCCGAAGCTTACCTTGTTTATGAGTTGAAGCTAGAGGATGTAAATTATCTTTCTAAACCCAAACTTCACAGATAACAATGCTTGGCATTCCCAAGTGTTAAGCAGAAAACTTCATTTTCTTCGCTAGACTATTAGGGGGTAATTTTTTTTGTATTTTATTGAATTGCACGTTTTCTTTTCTTGTGGAAACATTTGGAATGGTGTTGCAAACTTATTTCGCTACCTGTTCCACTGGCACAGGCTGCCCAGGTCTCCTTCCACCTCTAAGGATTCTGTGATGAAAACCGAAGAGGATGGTGGTAATGGTTTTGTTCTGTTACTGACATCAAGCTGCTTTCCTGCTTTAGAATGGTAACACCAGCAGTGCAGCCGATGGGCCTGGGCTGTGCAGTGCCAGTGCTTATCTGAACCAACTGCACGCACCTGTGCTGCTCAGCAGCCCATTTCCAGCTCTCCAGCGACTCTAATAAGCCCCACTTCTGTGTTATGGCTGCTGAAATCATGCAGTCTCTGTCTTTCTACAGGATCAGAATTGCACAGTAACTTTTAGAGGCACTCTGGTGAACAGATTGCAGCAGCACTGTGCGGTGTGTGCGCTACGCAGGGCTGAAGGAATGGGGCAGTCGGTGGCTTGGGGTTGGAAATGTTCCTGAGAAACAAATCTGTCCCGTTTTAAATACCTGATGAACCATTAACACTCCGAGTGAAATGACCAGCACGGACGGTTTTGCACCTGAAGCAAGAAAAAGCAAACACTGTGTACTGATGGTAGGATTTTTCAGTTTTAATCATCAATTCTTCCTCAGTTTATCCTGATCGTTAAACTATTTTTACAGTGGTTTTTTTTTTAATCCTCCTTTAAGAAAACAAGTGATACGTACATGAATAGTGTTTCCTAGTAGTTATAAAACAAAGAACTGCTGCTTAGTGGAAATGATACGGACTTGGAAAACAGCAATATAAAGTCACTGCAGTATTTATTGACTGAAAATTAGCTTCGGCGTGATATGAGAGAAGTGCATGTAGCAAATCAGCGTGTGGTGAATTTGGCAAAACTGTGTCATGGGCCACGCTGAAAGTGAGGATGTATTTCTCTCTGCTATCTCCTCATAGCTGAGTTTTAGGTGTTCTGCACGAGGGTGAAAAGAGCATCGTGTCACATTGAACAAAAGCTCTGAAGAATGAGGGTTCTCTCTGGGTACCTATGCTGAGCCTGAGCGGTTCTAAAGGCAATACAATATGATACTTTTTACACACTTGCAAAAACATTTTATTACAAATTACATCGGATGGTACCATAGGACACGGTATGGAAGTCGAAGCAAGACCGGATGTGTGTCGGCTTTTTCCTTTTTTAAAAAAATGTAAAAAATTAAAAATCTGCAACTCTTTTAAGAAAATAGCCTGAACGTGTCCAGGACACCCGTGAGAACCTTCCTGTGGAGCTCTCACGCGTTCCACCAGTGAGATTTCCTCTGTGTGTGACATGCAGACGGAACCCTGGGCTCTGAGCGAGGCAGAACCGCAGCTGAGCTTTGTGTCAGTCCCTGCACGTGAGGACATGAAGAACGGGGTGATGGGGAAAGCTGCTGATGAGGTGACGCTAACGATTTGTGACTGGTTGCCGCTGAGAGATGCTTGATTTAATTTCTTTAATTAAACGGCGCGGTAGCATATAGGAATCTGTAAATGATTGCCATTATTTTGCTGAATATTCAGCTGAATTCAGCTGAAATGCTGAATGTTGTTGTATCTTTTCGTTATAGCCACGTTTGATATTTCGTTTTAGGGGAAAAAGAAAATAGATTTTCTCGTTTGGAAGTAACTGGGTGGGTTTCTAGAGCATGTGAGGCGAGCTGCCTCGGAGACAGTTTGGTATCTCTAATTAAAAAAGGTATAAAATACACAAAACACACTTCTTCCTCGTGAAACAATTGCACTTCCTTCCTGGTACGCAGGGTCCGGTCACCTCATTTGATCCTTTGCCTTTCAGAGCATTTCAGGATATTGTTTATGTATGTACAAGAACTCGTAGCCCTCTTGAGGTTTCCTACAAAGTGACCTTCAGTAAAGCACGCTGAAATTCATTTTGAGGTGGACATTAGCATCTTCTGCATGTCTGTTCCCATTCTAACTTGGTTTTCTTACCTTTTCCCCATAGCAAACAGGCATGTGTTTCTCCTCAGATTTTCTTGTAGTTCTGGGTTGGATGTTGAGCTCAGAGAGAACATTTCAAGTTGCTAGTATGTGCAAACTCATCTGCTACTCATGGTGTTTCTACCACCTATAGACTAAAGAATTCCTGTCTCAGTGATGCTGCAGGGTGCGAAATCTCAAAAGCAATTCTTAGTAAAGCAGGCTGCCACGTAGCTCTGTATGACTTCTTAAAAGAGACCCAACACAGCAGCATTCCCTGTCCCTATCCACTTCCAGTGTGAGATGTGGTCGTTCTAGATATGAGCTTAATGACAGCAACAAGTACTTGAAGGAAACATTTTCAGTGTATAATTCAGAGCAACGTAAAAAGAAGAAATAAAAAGGAAAAATAATCAAACATTTCCTCCCTAGGAGAGTGCTGGTCAGTTAGTACAATTAATAGATATGGGTATAAATTGTAATGTGTTGGCTGAGAAACCCATCTGAGAAGCTTGGTAAATAAACAGCTTCTAAAATTGCTGCCTCCTTCCTGACAGGTTTCACAGCATAATGAGTGCTATAAAATTTATGGTGCCTTCTGCAGTAATGTAGAGGTTTTCCAAAGTCTGCCTTAGAAAAGGTTACTAAATCATGGCAAGTGCCAGCAAGCCGTAGAACTTTTTATTGTTCATTTTGTGTTTTTCAGATTGTTGTCTTTTTTTCTGTGCCAGAATGTGTCGTTTAGAGCTTTGGGGCAGCAAGAGATTAAAAGTGAGATTTAGGACGGCTTATTGTTCTGTAGCCTTGACCCTGTCAGCTTGCTGTGGTTAAGGCCTGTCCTGACTTGGGACATTTCCCACTGCCCACCTGCTGGTGATGGGCAGCAGCCTTGTTTGCCTGGTGGTGGGGACACAGCTAAATTAGAACTGATGGTGCATTGTCAAAACGTGAGAGCTTGGCTGAAGTCTACAACACATGAAGGCAAATACACATATAGTCACATCTCAGAGAGTATTCATGGTCTTGGACCACATGAAAAATTGTGCTTTGTCCAGGATAGATGTGCTGAAAACTGCACTCCCCAATCAACATGGATTTGTAAAACTGAAGATCACTGCATACATAAGGCTTGCTTGCTTTTTCTTTTTTCCCCCCTCGTTATTTAAAGACGATAAACCAAACCCCCAAAAGGCTTTAACACAAGAGTGATATTTAGCTGTGTACAGGATGACAGCCTACGATTTAACAGGTCAGAATGCGATGCTCTCAGATCTAAGGGAGGGGGAGGGAATAAGTTTTCCTTTCCATCTTTGTATAAATTCCAATTCAGGTTTTACATCCCACATTGGTGAACCGCAAATAAAAGCTGACGAGGTGTCACATCACCCCTTGCTTCTGAACACGAGTTTGTAGGTACAAAGGCCTTTTTGGTACACATGGTGAGAACTGAACGCTGCCAGTAGTCAGAGCAGCACGGGCCGGTGGCACGGAGCAACGCACCGAGATCCCGTGGAGATGATTGACAGAACTCCAAATATATTTCAGAGAAGGCCTTGAACTCCACAGCTAATGGACTTGGTTAAAGGAACCAGAGTTTCCATCTTCCATGCTTTTTTGATTCAGTTTTGGATTTTTGCTTGGGGGTTGAGGAGTAGCTCTCCTGAGAATAAGGCAAAGGTGCAACCTGAGTTTCCTCAATAGGATGAAGTTTTCTCAAAACTGGCTGTAGTTTATCTTCTTGCTGCTTGAAATCCAATTCCACACTAAAAATGAGAAGAAAAGGCAATCAGCTACTGCGTTATGATGGCAGTGCTATTTCAATTAAATCAACATCTGACAACGCTATGGAAAGGCTTAATTTATTAAAATCAAATACAAAATAAACACTTCAATTGCTGCAGCAATTCTTAAACGTGAGACTGGAGGGAGAAAGACGAGGCGTGGGGAGATGCTGGTAAATAGGATCCTGATGCCTTCTTCCTGTGGAGGAGGGCAGTGAGGATGCTGGCTGTGTGGTGAGGGAAGGTGGTGCTCCTTGTTCTCATCCTCCTGTGCAGGAGGGCTCTGTTGCTGCTCCTAGGCTCTGCTCTCCTGGCTGTGTGCCTGCTGCTCGTGCTGCTCCTCCTCCATAGGTGAGGAGAACTTTCTTTTGATAAAAGCCATTGACAAAAGGGCCGTCCTGGCATTTTGTTGACGGTGGCTTGTTTCTTTCAAGCTTTACCACGAGTTAATTTCACCAAATTGACTCCTAACTATGAGTCTATCATAGTTATGTACTTCTCTATGATAAATTGGGACATTAAGAACTTAATTCTCCCATACACTGCAAGCCTTCTCCTTATGCTGATAGCCCTGTAGGAAGGATGGTGACAAAAAACCTACTGAGCCCCTGCTGTGAGTGAGTGCTGGGGCAGAAACATCTATGGATGGCTATCTATTTATTTAGCTGATTGGAAGAACCCATTTCAGTAATAGCTAGTGTGTACTCGCTTTTTTTATTTGCTATTAAACATAGAAATAAGGGAAACACTCATTTCATCCTAAGCTTGGATTCAAAATGTACTTAAGATCCAGGCTACTCCTTCTGAATTCTAAGCGCTCTCGACTACGAAACCCTACTAGCAATTAAGAAATGTCATAAAGATGAAATTATAACTCTTATTTCAATAGAGAGAGCTAGAGATTCAAGTTTAGCTAATTAAGCGAGGCACAACATGAACTTCAGTAAAACCTGACTTCTGTCTGATAGCCAAATCTAGGCTACTTTCTTTCCTATACCATGAAATGCCACAGTTCCAGTTGCATTTGTATGTCAGCCTCTGGCTGAGCCCTACGGTGACTCTTTTCATCCTGCCTTGGACATTACACTGCAGCTGGGTGTTGAAGGGTAAATTTAGGAAACAGTGAAATTGATGGCATGTTAGCAACAGAGACTTTAATTTCTTTCTTCCCTGCACGTTGCTTGTTATTTTAAAATGAACATTTGTTTTGAACATACGCGCATTAGAGCAGCATCTGCAAGTACTGAATTTGCAGTAAGACACAGTGTTGGATATCCTGCTACTACAAGGGCAGTTCTAAGACCACTGAATCTGCTAATGAAGGAACAGTGCAGCCTTCAACTTAAGAACACGTTCGTTTTTCCAATTTAGCTTGACAAAAGCTCTTGGTTAGATAACTGTGACATGAATTTTGTGGGAAGATTCATCAATCCATTGTAAACAGCCCACCACATCAATGCTTTAGGTAATGCAGTGAAAGAAGCTCGGATGAAGTAGATTCTGGCACTGGTAGAGGTCAGTTCAAAATGTTATTCTTGCATTCAGCTGGGAAAGTCTCTGAAGAGCTGCTCAAAATCGGGGTGAGAAATACATTACTCTAAGGAAGACAAGAGCGCAGCAAACAAAAGCCCCACAACTTTTGGAGCAGAGTAACTTTTTCAGAATCGATTTCTATTGGAGGCAGACTTCAAGGGGAGAACTCTTAGTTCTGGTCCAGACAAATTCTCTGCTGCATCGCTCTCTATTTGCAGCTCATTGAAGGCTGCTTGTTTTTTTTTCTCATCAATTTACATCAAAATAAAATCTTTCTTCTGAGAAGCAGAAAGAGGATGAAAGAAAACTGTATTATCCCAGCTTTTGCAGCTGTATAAGAATTGTTGTCTATCGGGATCAATTTATTTAGCTTTGTAGGTGTTCTAATGTAACCATTCCTTTGAGGCAAACGATTTGTCTGCTTGTGAGCTTGGGATGTGAGCATACTGTTGGTGCTACAGAAATAAGACCAAAGCCTCCTTACTCTGTGGTTTTTCATCTCTCCCTAACTCAGCTGTTGCTGATTTCACATTTGGTTTTAACATTCTATCAAACATATGGAATGCTATTAAACTCAGCAAGCGTTACGTTTTTGTGTGACCTCTGTGGTGTTGTTACGTAGGGCTGGATATTCCCTACAGACTGTTCCCCTATCTTTCCTGTTCTTGCTTTCATGAACTAGTTTGTGTCACCTGTCACAGCTCTGACAGCTTCACTCTGCTTAGTGGTATTTTTATATCCCAAGTAACTGCAGGTTTCCTCTTGAAATGACCTTTCCCTGAGATGCTCTCTGTGCCACGTGGCTCTTTCCACTTTCAAATTGTTTTCATCTCTTCAAGTGTCCTCATGCTAACTCCATCAACTGAATTAGTGAGGGCCATATGTATGTTCTTCTGTCTTTATTCATTATGGAGGTTGTTGGCTTTGGAAGTGCTTCTCCATATTGAGATGACAGAGTGTATTTTTCAGTAGTTAGATTGGCGATTATGAGTAAACCCTACAACAACAAGAGATGAATCTGAATATGAGAAATGGTTCTGGTGTCACAAATATGCAGCTGTGGCATGCTATGCATTCACTTAGCAGCGTTGTCCAGTTTGTCTCCATTCTCAGTGCCTATCTGAGGTTTTCCCTTTGTGCAGCACGTTGCACAGATGGGCTCTTTTGGTTTTTCTGAGCGCCTATAGACAGCTTTGTTTTGTCTGTGATAACAAAAATTCTGTTTTTCTGTGTGGTTTTTTTCTTTTTTTTTTCTTGAGAGCCACCATATATTCACAGGGTTGGTAACAGAATCATGGCATTTGCACATGAATCAGTGTATGCATATATGTGTCAGTCCCAGGAAAATTTGGCCAAAGGAAATCAAACGGCAGACCTCTGAGAATTGTGTCATTAAACACAGGCGAGAACTTTGTAATTAAGATCTCTGAGGTTCTGTCACAGTGAGCCGGTTCTGATCCAGGACTGATCAAAAGCATTGCTGCAGTTGCAGCTGTGGATGCTGTCAGTGTGTGCCTGACGGAGCGCCTGAGCACAGGACCCCACGTCTACTTCTCCAGTCCTGTGTTCTGCTCATGACTGATACGTGCAGGCAGAACCCAATGTGTGATCGCATGCTTTTTTATTTCTTTTCTTTCCTGTTTCCTGAGCCCTGGTGTTATTTACTGCACAGCGTGTGCATGCAGCGAAGCCCAGCAGAAACGTGAGTCACAGGGTCTGCTCTGTCCATAGGAAGCATCATTCCCTTGCTGTGCAAGTTTGGTTTGCAGCGAGTGAGGCGGCGTTGCCTTGAAAATTATTTTCATTCCGTGATGTTAATTTCAGAATTGTAGTCAGCAGGAACCTCTGTGGGGTTTCTGTGTTTGTTTTTGCTTTGGGCTCAGTGTCCCCCAGCCTCTGCTTTCGGTTTGTGAAACGGAAGCTGTGCGTTCTGAAAGCAGTGGGGACTCAATCCTGTAATGCCGAGTTCTCCAGGATAAACTCAGAGAGCTTTTCAGTGCAGGGTTAGAACACCACGTATCCTCAACAGCTGCTCAGCCACGTATGGTGCACGTGGATTAAATGCAGTGCTTTCCAGAGGTGTCAGGGCTGTGTCCCTACCTGGGGCGCACCGCAGGATAAAGGAAGCAATGCAGAGCCCTTCCCAGCTGCGGCCAGGCAGGTTTGCTCAAGGCATGCCCACAACACAGCCAGCTCCCTCAGACTTTTCTTTACGCTTAATCCCATTTTCTGAATCTTAGCACTGTGCACTAAGGATTGGTGTGCTGGATTTTCTGTTTTTGGCTTTGTGATTTATTTTATTTTTTTAATGATTTGAGAATATACGTTAATGAGCGTGTTTATTTTTTGCACGCTGGCAGTAGAGTGAGCTTTTTCTAATTCTGTTGCAGTATATGGGATTGAAAACAGTTTGAGGAGTCATAACCACTTGGTTTTAAACATACGGGACGTGGGAGGATATCTAGCAACAAGCTCAGGAATTTGGATGGGCTTTCTTTTTTAACGTAGTCACACGTTATTAATATGCATCATTTTGAGATACTAGATACTAACAATCTGATGTGTTGCTTACTTGTAAGACTGCAGAATCAGAATAGCCCAGATTCAGGGCTGTGTTGCTTGGGGCCTTTATCCAGTCACCTCTTGAAAGCACCAAGGATGGAGCTTGCCCAGGCTCTGAGCAGTTGGCCCTCTGCTTTCCCCTTCAAGGGGCGGACATTTTTCTCTCTATTCAACCTAAACCCTCCTCGTTATAGTTGGCATTGCCTCTGTTTACCTTGTTACTACGTAGTTTGCAGTGTTAAAGCCCAGATCCTACAAGCATTTGTAGAGCAGCTTAACTCTTTGCATTGCTAGGTGAAACAGGAATTAAGGAGTATCATTGTGTCTCCTTCTAGCTGCATTAATAGGATGACATGGAATTAGTGCATGCTGCATCTTGGAAGAACAGGATCCAGATAAGCACTAATAACTTGAAAATTAGCTTAATACACTTTCAAACAATCTCTTTAAAACTTCCTATTTTAACCTGAATATTACAAATGCCCAGAATCCAAAACATTGTCAGTGCTGGCAAGCCATTAAGATCCATCTTTCAACTAAGAATCGTACAGTCTAGGGATAAGAATTCTATGAGAAAGAGCACAGATTTGTTAATGTGGGTAGGAAATAAAAAAGATGGTGAAAATTACTGTTCTGGTCATGTGGGTACCTGATTTTACTCTAGTGATAATATCTTAGGAATTTATGCCTACTTGTCTTACTTTGCATGCCACCTTTATATATTTTCCTAATTATCAGTGTATCTAACACCTTCACGAGAGTGGCTTCCATGGGTTGCTGTGCTGCCTCCTTGACGTACGGAGCCATGATTTTAACCTGTAATGGTGTATTGAGAGTGCTCTCATAATGTTTTCAGCTGAATAGCTGGAGCTTGCCATGCAATGTCAAAGACAAAATTAAATGCTGAGAAACAGCTTGTTGCTCAGGCTGTGCTCGTATTTCAGTTGGTTTTGTGCTGACAGCATACCCTAACAAGACTCATCTGTTTTTAGAAATATTAGTGCTGAATCTGTATTAGTTTGTGAAAGACACGTGCAGATTTTTTTGTCTTTTTATTGAATTTTCTCTTTAGTTTGTAGATGATGGACCATTTTGAAACTGATCCGTGATCTCTGGTTAGGAGATGTTGATCCTAATGGAGTAGGCTGGTGTTTCACATGGATTAACACTGAACAACGCTTGCTTGTTTTTACTGTTCGAAATCATTATTTTTGAATAACTAATATAATGACTGCTTATTAATATCTAATGAGTGGGAGGCTAGTAGATGGAGCCAGGCTCCTGTTGGTGGGCCCCAGCAACTGGACAAAGGGCAACAGGTACAAAGCAAGCACTGGAACAGGCTGCCCAGGGAGGTGGTGGAGTCTCCTTCTGTGGAGGTATTCCATACCCACCTGGATGCCTAGCTGTGTGAGCTGCTGTGGGGAAGCTGCATTAGCAGGGGTTGGACTGGGGGAGGTCTTCAGAGCTCCCTTCCAACCCCTCTGGTTCTGGGACTGTGTGAAAGCTTTCATTTCTCTCGGAGGTTCCAGCACTGCAGTGTGACTCGTGGTGGAGAAGAGGATCGTACAAGGCAATCTGTCTTAGTGGTAGTTTTATCAGAGGATTTCTCTTCTGTCCCTTCTGACTACTTATCTTGTCAGAGCAATTCAGGCTTCTCATAGTTCCCCTGTTTCACACCGTCTTCTGCATTTAGACTTTTTGCCTGCAGCATGTATTCTCCTACTCTGACAAAGAGCTGAGCTGAGTTTTGCTAAAACTTCCCCTGGAAACACTGCTGTAGGCAAATGCCCAGCATGGATAGCTGCAGTCCAAGTGGCTGTTCTGGTGGGAAATGCTGTTATGTGTATGCAAGGAAACACTTCCATTGTTTGCAGTGAATGTAAGAAGTAAAAACTGGGGAGTTGCTTAATTTAAATTGTGCTGACTCGAAATCGAGACCTTAAAATAATAATTCAGATTGGATTTGGGTTTTAGTTAACGAGACAAAAAGAGCATCTCTGATGGCAGCGTGCTCTGCTGCAATTTCCCAGACTGTCTTGAGAAAGAAATTGCTGGGGATGAGCAAGCAGAGAGGCAGGGTTGGCCTTTAGTATTGACATGCTCCTAAGTACTGCTGTAAAGGATAAATAAATCAATTGGTTCCTTCCCCTGCACTGAACAGCATCTATCTCTTTGCAGGTTAGTCAGCAAGGAGAAAAGGTGGAGTTGAAGTTCTCCATCCCTTTTACCTTCACTGCTAGGAAGCTAGGAGCTAATGCACAAATAGGTGCAGATCTACCTAGATCAGAGATCTAGTGGAGAAACATGCAGGTTTTTCAGACCTGGTCAGCAATAGTACATTTATTTTAGTTGGTATCTGTAGTTAATAGCCATTTTTATGGATTTCCTTTCGTACTGTACTGCCTAATTTTCTTATATACTTTCCTGATGTATTTCAGAAAGAAATACATTTTCAGAACGTTTTATCCCTTTGTGTAACAAAGAGAAGAAATCCCTGCTGAAATGATAATCTGAGTTACATTTGTTTTCGTCTTACCTGCAACACATGTAAATATGCAGTTGCTTTTCTTTAAGCCTCTCTGTAACAGAGGAGGGCAATTAAGCTGTCAGTACGAAACACATCATCAGACTCCTGGTGGCTTCATGTCATGCCCACTGATTATCTGCTATTCCTTCCTTACATAAACACATGGCAACAGAAGCCTCCTGGCTGATAAACTTGAGGAGGGGAACCTCTGCTTTAGAGCTAAATGAAACGTGTCCTTTAACCTTTGGCACCTGATCTGTTTCTAGTGAGTGAACTCCAAGCATTTCCTTCTGCAGAAGAAATTCTAGCAGCTACAGACAGGAAATTCTAGCAGGTATAAACAATCTTTATGAAGCCTTTCAGCTCTGAGCTGTTTGTAATTGCTTATTGGTTTGACAGTAACAAACAGACCTGTGTTCATGTAACAGATGATACACCTTCAGAATGAGTCTGTATGCATGCAACAGGTCTGTGTGTGTTGCATGAAGACTGAGGATGTCTGATGTAAAGAACTTACAGCTGCTGTTCATGTTGGGGTATTGGCCAATGGGATAAAATTCCTGCACTATAAATGTGGAAGTATGTAAAAGCCTGGGTAGTAACATCATCTAAACTGCCTGGATTGAATGTGTATGTGGTTATGTTTGCTATAAAATCTCTTGGAATTGCTTCCCCAGTCCAGTGCTTACTGCTATAAAAGTCAATTTATGTTGAGTTGTTGAATAGAAAATTGTAAGGATTTGTAGCTATGTGAAAGTGAGGCTTGTGACTTGCAGTACTTCACACCCAAGATCTGCAGCAGTGCTACTGACCACAGTAATCTGCAGCTCTGATCTGAACATTTTAGACAGTTATCTGTTGAATTTAAATAACGAAGTGAGGGTGAATTTATTTTCTATTTGTTGAGTTGTTTTTTTTTTTTTTCTGTATTGTCTACATGGAAACAAAACAACGACAAAAAACCAAATAGAATCCCAACAACTGAATGAAGGCTGACATTTGACATTGCACTAATGAATAAATCATTACCTCTCACTCAGTACGAAGTGGGATGGGAGGATTGTGACCCACCTGTAGATGATACACGCGCTGTTCCTGCACGTGTCGCAGTTGGCCGTGTCTTGACCGGTCCGATATGAAAGCCTGCAAAGATAAGAACACCAGGTCATTCAAATGCCATATAACAGATTTTTGCCCTCAATGAGTGCTTTTTGTAGAAATGAGAACTTCAGGAATTGATGATGATGATTTTTTTTATCTGTAGTACTTAATGGGATGATAATATTCACCTTTGCTGGGGATGATGATTATTTTGGACAGCAAGCGATTGGTTGTTGGAAAAAGATTCATTTGTTATATTTTTGTATATTGATGGAATACAAAAGGAAATGTAGTTAAGTGCTCTCTTTATCTAAAGCCTCTGTGTGCCATGTGCTGAACCCTCACTGCAAATGGACACAGCTCCTGGTTCTGCAGACGTGACGCTGCTGTATGGCTTTCTTCTCTTCCCAAATACATACGGCTTCACCTCCTTACTGGTGATCCTAGCCAAGGTGCAGATGGAGCTGAACTTGTGAGGGGATGTGAAAGATAACGAGAAGGGGTTCTGTAGGTACACAGGAAGGAGGAGACAGACCAAGGAGAGTGCTTCCCCTCTGATGAAAGGTAATGAGGAGCTGGCTTCCTCAGGCATAGAGAAGCTGAGGTACTTAGTGAGTGCTGTGCCTCGGTCTTCACAAGTGGTCCGGCTTCGCTTGTCTGCCAAGACCTTCAGTCTCTAAGTGAGGCTGTAGGGAGTGATTTCTGTCCCACTGTAACAGTGGAACAAGTCTGAGTCGTCTTGAAATGGAATGTATATAAGTCCATGGGGCCAGGTGATATCCATCCTAGGGTTCTGAAAGAGATGGCTGATACCCAGGCTGGATGTGGCTCTGAGCAGCCTGGTCTGTTGGTGCCCTTGCACATAGCAGGGGATTGGAACTAGATGAGCATTGATGTTCTTTTCAACCCAGGCCATTCTATGGTTCTTTGATTCTAAGGAGCATAATAGTGGAAAAATGTACTTAGTCATTTTGTCCTTTGGGTCTAAAGACATGTTGTGGTGGTTCTGTGAGAAGAAAACATCATTTGAATACTGTTTCCTTTTCTCACCTGGCCTGTATCTATCTGTTGTCACAGCTCAGTCTGAAGCTTGCTAGTGCTCATAACTTACAGGCACGTTCTCTCTGGTGTGGTCAGTTTGGAAGGAAAAAGAAACCTGTGGCATAGAAATGATTTTCTGTACATGGGCAGGAATTTCATTAAAATAAATGTATGAAATTACAAAGAAGAAAATAGCCTGCATAACCACGCAAATGTCCTTGCGTGAGGATGATTTTAAAATGAAAATTAAGTCCTAGAATCATAGAATTATCGAGTCACAGAATGGCCTGGGTTGAAAAGGAGCACAATGCTCATCCAGTTCCAACCCCCTGCTGTGTGCAGGTCACCAACCAGCAGCCCAGGCTGCTCAGAGCCACATCCAGCCTGGCCTTGAATGCCTGCAGGGATGGGGCATCCACAGCCTCCTTGGGCAACCTGTGCCAGTGCCTCACCACCCTCTGGGGGCCACATCATCCCATCAGCTGACATCAGTCAGTTCCACATTGGCTTTGCAGCACAGAGGGGACAGCAGGACCTCGTCCCTCACACAGCAGCAATAACGAAAACTCCAGCATTTGCAAAAGAGTTGATTTAATTTTCATGTGACAAAATACCAGACCTCTAGAGTATAAAATATTAATGGAAATCAAGTGACAAGGCATGTGCTCATCCCTAACGTGGAAATGCAGTTGTTGGCTATTTTTTGGTAACTAACTCCTGATGATTTATCTCAGTGAGCACGCTGCCTTTGTATGGCTTTGTTGTCCTTCCTAGGAAAACTACCAACTCTTATTATATTAAAAGTTTGAATATTGTTTTTCAAGTTCATTAGGTTACTTGCATATTTTATATAAAAGATGCTTTTAAGCGAGAAGAAATGTATCGGTGTGACCTTGAAGGCAGAGGGTGGATGTGGCATTGGCTTAGATCAGGCTCATCTGCCCAGGAAGACACTGCTCTGGCCATTGGGAGCACTGGGATGTGTAAATGGTGTGGGGCATTGTCACAGCAGAGCGCTCTGCCGTGGGGATGGAGCTGCTCAGCACAGCAGTACTGCAGGCAGCAGTTAATAGGGCGAATCTGCTGCTTCTATAAGATAGACTTCTTTTTTTTTTCCCAGTGAAAGAAAAATGCAAGGTAGAGTTCTTGCTGTTGTAATTGTTGGTGGTTTTGTTTTTGTTTCCACACCTATTTTACGAGCGCTGGGAACGTGCTGGATTTAAAACCTGATACCAAGTAATAACGTGCCCTTGGAAATAATTTTTATCTGGAGGAATGCACTGAAATTAACTGCACTGCTAAATTTTAACACAACTACAAAGGCAAGCTGGCAAAAGAACTGCAAGAAGAACTCTCTGTGAGGTACCATTCCTTATGGGGGATAAAGCAGCACTGCTTTGCATTTGCTTGTACTTTTTTTGTGCTCTCAGGGGTGAAGTCATTTCTGTTTTGCAGTTCTGCTTTGATTATTTGGAGGCAGACATTCAGGTTGTCACTGCAGCATTAAACTTGGACTTGTACAATTATTTTTTCAAGCTATTGATCAAATACTAAAAACTCTTAGCAAGGACACAACACCTCAAGTTTACAGATAAGCTGCTGAAAGCCTTTATTTACCGAGGACATAAATGGTAGTTAATAATCGCCTTCAGAGGAACACAGCACTGTTGTCTGAATGCCTCTTTATAGATAAAGACATAAACATGCTGCGTAGGGTGCCAGTTTTTTTCATTAGATGTCAGTTGGGACATTTTAATTCCTCTTTGTAAGCCTGCAAAGTACCCTTTAATGTACAGGTAATTAGCTGCTTCAGAGCCTAACGACCTCCTGCTCTGCACCGCTCTGCTATTCCTGCACTGTGCTGCTGGGCTGGGTAACAAGTAGAACAAGTAGCTTAAGAAGTTTCTCAAAGTCCAGCTTTGGCACAGAGCTTAGAAATGCTTCAGCAACAAGGGTTCAGTCTCAAATTGATTGCCATGTTAAAAACCATGCAATGTGTCTCTGAATCGTTATCCTTCGTTTGCTCTGTAATAAGGGTGTGTGTGCTCTGATCACTGCCTTCGTTGCTGAGCCGGTTTCATAGTCGTAGAATGGCTGAGTTGGAAGGGTTGTCAGCCACTAGATCAAGTGCTAGATCAGATTGCACAGGGCTCCATCCACCCTGGCCTTACCCCCTCCAGGGATGGGGCATCCACAATCTCTCTGGACAGCCTGTTGCAGCACCTCACCACTCTCTCAATGGAAAAACTTCCCCCTGATACCTGGTGTAAATCTTCTCTCCTTCTCATTTCCTCTTGTGCTATCACTGTCTACTTGTGTAACAAGTTGTTTTCCCTCCTGTTTATATCTCCCTTTAAATACTGGAAGGTCATAATGAGGTCTTCCCTCAGCCTTCTCTTTTCCAGACTGAACAAACCCAGCTTCTTCAGTCTGTCTTTGTAGGAAAGGTGCTCCAGCCCTTGGATCATCTTTGTGGCCCTCCTCTGGAGTCCCTCCAGAAGCTCCACATCTTTTCTGTGTTGGGGGGCCTCACACTTGGTTGCAGTACTCCAGATGGAGCCCCACGAGGGCAGAGTAGAAGGGGACAATATCCTTGCTGTCCCTGTTGGCCACCCCTGTTCTGATGCAGCCCAGGATACCACTGGCCTTCTGGATTGCAGGCACACCCTGCTGGCTCATGTCGTTGAGTTTTTCACCTACTGAGACCCTGAAGTCTTTCTCAGCAGGACTGTTCTCAAGGAGTTGTTCTTCTCCCAGTCTGTATACATATCTGGGATTAACCTGACCCAAGTGCAAAACCTTGCACTTTGCTTTGTTAAACCTTTTAGGTTCACAAGGGCCCACCTTTCAAGTTTATCAAGGTCCTTCAGGATGGCATCCCCTCCTTCTGCTGTGTCAACTGCATCACTCGGCTCGGTGTCATCAGCAAACTTGCTGAGGATGCACTTGATCCCATCATTGATAAAGATGTTAAAAAGTACTGGTCCAAGACCAAGCCATGGGGGACACTGCTCATCACCAGCCTCCACATGGACATACACCAGTTGACCACAACCCTGTGGCTGTGACCTTCCAACCAATTCCTTAACCATCAAATAGTCCACCCTTCCTGTCTCTCCAATTTACAGATAAGGATGTGCTGCAGATTCTTATTGACCAGGTACTGACAGCACTATGCCTGTAACATTCTAGTTGCCATGAACTCATTGAACATTCATAGGCTGGTTGCTTATTTAGCAGAAGTTTGGAAAAGACTTCTTAAGATCCCCATGTCCAGCCCCAGCCATCTCCACCATGCCCTCTGAGCATGTCCCTTAGTGCCATGTCTCCATGGTTCTTGAACCTGCTCATCTTCAAATGCACAGTAATCCCACATCTTCAAGTATTTTAAGACATTTCTTAATTGATGGTATTTGACAGGCTCAACCTGCTAGAAACGATGCTTGAATATAAGTATTAAGCAGGATTTGGTTTTTGGATGATCATTTTGAAAGCCCAAATTCTCAGCTGGCATGTTTGGCTCTGCTTGCTTTCAGCCTCATTGCCATTCACCAACTACACTGATATGCGATGATTTTTTCCTACTCTGATGTAATTTATGATAAACTTTTCTTAAAGTAATATTTCCCTTATGGAATATATTCAGCTTTTTCAGAGGTGATTTTTCTTTCGCACAACAGATGAAGTGATGTTGCCTTCTCTGAAGTCTCCCTGCCTTGGATTTCTTCCTAGGAAGCCCTCCCTCACAGCACTTGGTTTCTGTAAGGCAGTGTGATAGCTCTGCAGCCAGTTCTGTGTTGTACAAGTGTCTCTCCAGTATGAATTCAATTACATATATGAACTGAACTGCTTATGAAATAATTCTGTTGTTTTTACCCTAGGGCTATGGACTTCTCCTTGTTTTTATGCAATTATCTACATAAACACATGCAAAGAATTCATCTACCTTGTGCCAACAGAGATTTTACTATGAGAATAGTAGTTTTGCATGTAGGTCTCAC